TTTTTTGCTACCTGCATGCAAAACTCTGCACCTGTCTATATTAAATGTCATCTGCCAGGTGTTTTCCCCATCTTGAATTTTATCTAAATCTTCCTGAATTTCATTTGTTGCTTTTTCAGTATTTGTCAATCCTCTTATTTTGTTGGAAATTTGACTAATTTACTAACTATACCAGAATGTAGATCATTAATATAAATTAATAGGAGCAGTGGTCCTATTACTGGTCCCTAATTACATCTAATTGATTATTGGGTGAGGAATCTGTGTTCATATGGTCTTATATGAACTGGTAACATATGATATGATTAAAAGCAATAAAGAAATGACTAAAAAAACAAAACTGAAGAGTGTTCAAACTGTATTTTTCTTTGAGAAATTCTCTAAAACTGTATTGTGAAAATGTATTTTTAAAACTTGCATAATGAATACCTTTAGTTTAAATGCAAGTTCAACACAAATCCTCAAAACAAAATCTCTTTTTTTTAATTACTTACACTGTATAAAGAAATTAGTCTTGAGAATTCCAAAGGAAATCATGATTTGTACAAGAAATCACATTTAAGGAAAATGCAGAATGTACAGTATTAAATAATTCTGGCATGTTCAAGCAATTATCACATTCTGTCAAGTTACAACCCATATTAGAACAGTTGCTCATGGTCAGATTTTCTCTCTTCATTTTGTGATCATAATTATATGCACAAGATAATACCCTAGGGAAAATGTTGGAGCTATATGATGGTAGCATTTTCACAACATACTGTAATGATATTTCCTGTTGTATCACACACTAGCCTAAACTTTCTGTTCAGCATGAAAGTGAATACATTCATAGACAGACAAGCAGACTAACATCAAAGTGCAAGCTCACCATATTCTGAATGGGTTCAAGTTACTTAGATTTGAACAATTGATTGAATTTCTCTGTTTTAATAGATGTTTCTCCCTTCACAGCATGACAGATCACCTATGCACTAAAATACTACAATAATGCCTTCAATTTAACCAGCTTTCTGAGTTACTATCTACACTGTACCTTTATGGCTTTATGCCATTCACCTTGTGAACACTGACTTGTTATTACATGGCAAAAACTAAAATCAGTTATAATCAGATTTAACGGAATTTAACATAAGGTCATTCAATAGCTTATAGCAATAGGAAATATTCAATGTGCAACAGCATGATTTAATAAACTATATTTGTTGATGTTACAGTGAAAAACATTTAAAATAAGAGCCACTTCCTGAGATAATCTAGGAACACCGAACGTATATTTAAATGATGTTGGCTGAGGCCTGAGCCAGGGTCTTTGTATCTTCTGAAATGGGATGCAGACAAGGGGGCCAGACCTGATGCTCTGGAATAGCTAAACCAGTAGAAGCTGAAGGAACCGAACTTTAGTCTTGAACAGAAAAGGCTATGTAGGGACGTGATTCAAGTGATCAAAATCTTCAAAGGCACTGATAAAGTCCACGCAGTAGGTACACAGCCATGTTGTTAAAGCCCACATTTATTCTTCTTTCAAGAAATGGCTGGAGAAGTCCTCAGATAAATCAGGTACTTCTGTAGTGTCAATATTACTGCTGTAAATACCATATGGTCTGGTGGGTTGAACAGCCTGTTCTCATTTGTAACTATTACTTTGCACTATTGAGTTGGCTAGGGAATCCTTGCATCGCTGCAACTGCTGTTTGCGTGGTGCTTGTGATCTTACAGTGTTTTCGATGAGACCAGCATCTCTCTTCCACTTTAAGCTACTATAATTCCTGTGTTCAGAACTTGATATTTCCAGCACAGGAAATGGATGATTTTGGAGGAAGCATGTGTGACACGGTTCATTTGCCTGTTTAATATTATTAAATCATTTTAAAGAAGCTTTTTGGGATATTTGGTTGAGAACATAAGGAGTATGGAAATGACTGAATATGTAATCTAGCCATCTAATATCTAGCCATTTCGTTCCCTGCTGTGTACTGAATGTGCCTCCTGTCCACAATTTCAAATCCACTTCACAACAGATTTCTCTTGTGTTCAGTTTCTCTCATTGTGTTTCAGTCTAAATTCTGTCAAACTCGTTTGGTTGAATTTGTCAATGTCTTTAACAAACTGGAATGCTGAGATCAGGTCCCCGTGTAGTCTTCTCTATCCGAGACTGTAAAGGTTCAGTTTTTTAGCCTGCCAGGACAGGACATTTCTTGTATCTGATGTCCTCTGGACTGACTCCAGAGCAACCACTTTTCTTATCTTTATCTGTCACGGTGACCACAAATGTGCACAATATTCTAAATGAGATCTTACTTTTGCATTGTACAATTTCAACATGATTTAAACTCTACACTTAAAGTATATATCACAACTTTCTGTTGGTTGGATACTCACATTGTCTAGAAGATGAATAAAAAAGAATTAGAACATAAATGCCTCTGTTTTGTCAAGGTACTACAGGTAACTTCCTGAAATTCATTGCTTCCTGTATTATATTTCTGTGTTTTCTCTATCTTCATGTAATACTCTGCACTAATCTACATTAAATGTTATCTGCCAAGTTCTTTTGCCCAGCTTTAACTTAATCTCTTAATCTTTCTTAATTTACTTTTGCAGTGTCTGCACTATTCTAAACTTTTGATTTTCATATCAACTTTATTAGTTTACCAGTTACCAGATTGAGTATGATTGATATAAAATAAGAAACGTAGCAGTCCTGATACTGATCCCTGTGGTACTTTATGAGTCACATCTTCACAATTTGGGCACTCTGTAAAGTTTTCTTTGTAAAGTGTGTATGTCTGTCCGTTTGGCAATAACAATAACTAATTATTGTCTTGACAGACAAAAATAAAACCACCTTAAAATGTGTACATAGTCAATAGAAGCTCCTGTTCTTTAAGTATCACAAAAACAATGGATTAAATAACAAAAGCAGTTTTGTTATTTAATGCATTGCTTTAAGCTTGGGAAATAGCCCTCACAGTCTGCATATTGAATGTTAATGCTTAACAAGTAAATGAGTCACATATGGTTGTTATTTAGCAAACCTTTTTCTTTTTCCTGTCGCTGAGCCAAGGGCAGTATTTTTAGTTGCCTGAGGCCAACTAACATCTGACTGTGTCTGTTCTCCTTTTTATACCGTCCTGCCATGTTGTCTGTTTTACAGGGAAACCAATTCCAACGAAAGAGTTTCCCACTGCTTCTGGACCTCTAGACAGTACCTACAGCTAGTTTCTATTCTTTTTGTGTTAGTTACAGCACTGAGACATATGCATTGATGTTGGACTAGACCAAGACACCCGATAGATACTGTATAACTAGATCAAACTAACATAATGAGATATGGTTCAAAAGCTGATTAAGAATGGTGGACATCAGCATTTCAAAAGCATTCATAATATTATTGAAGAGACTGCTCATCAAGATCATTTTGTACTGTACACCTCAGAACAGCACAGCTGGAAAAAGCAGACAAGGGTCTCAAAGTAAAACAAAATAACATGTGTCTGTCATGTCCAAAGTTTTGCACTCAGATTAGATCCAGTTAAAGGGTTCACCTTTGTTTCCTCCCTATTTCACAGGTGTAGCCGATACTGTTTGAGATTTGCATGTTAGGTTATTAGAAATTAGAAATTGTTTATTGATGCTGATTTTTTTACATCTCTAATAGAGAATTCATGCAAATGTGAAATACAAAGCTACTGTTTTTTTTCATCCCGACTTCTGCTTACATTTAAAGTAACTCTTAAATAAACTGCCATTGCTTGTTTTAGTTGGACTCACATCAGCTACTGTATACCCACCTCTGCCATGTCATGCAGGAGTGACAGTTAAACTGACTTTTTGTGAACAGTCCTCAGCTCAGCTGAGAAACCTACTTTCTGGTTGTACAACATCATGACACAATTCTGCAGGATATTTGCTTTTCCAAAGACATCGGAAACCAGTAAATTACATAATACTGTTGCTTTGACATGTTAATAGAATGATTCAAAGTTATGATAAATTATAAATTATTATAAAGGTAAATCCCAGACTAAATGACAAACAATAAAATAAAACAATGCCTAAATTCAGAATATCCAGATCATTTACATCACTTTCTGTTTTAGCACGAATACAATCTTCTATTCTTTTATTCTACAACATAACAGCCTAGACAGTCATCAAAGATAAAACAACAAACTAGAAATGAGTAGCCTTTCCTGACATTTATAAAGATAATTTTAGTAGAAGTGGGAAAATAGTGTGAGACGTTCTGAAGTACTGTAAAGCATGCAGGAGTAACCTAGTAAGGAAAAGCTTTAACAAAAGAGGGAAACTGTTGTAATTGCAATGGTATTTAAGGACTTTAGGATACATTTGTTAGGATTTGTGTTGTTTCTTAGATTGAAGGGATACAGTACGTAATCCAATAGCAGTGTTAGCTCATTGCACAACTTTCAAAGATTTGCTTCTGTTACAGCAATAATGGCATTACATTAATAAACATGATAAACAGACATTGGTAACTTTGGGAACATACTTGTAAGTCTAGTAAAATGCCATACTGCTTGTATATCCGTTTTGGCAGTGTAAGAGTTTGGCAGCAGTGCAGTTTTTTGAGAGGACTCTTTGGAGGTCTGATAAGGATACCGACAACATCCACATCTAAACATTCAGCTTCCACAAATAAAATGACTGCTTTCCTTTTACAGGAGTTTTTGGAGAACAGTTTTTGCTTATCAGTTCTTCTGTGCTATCAGCTCTCTCAGGCCTATACAGTGCTGTGCTGGTAGATATGCCCAGTGAACTCTAATTTTAGTTCAATTGTCAATGATACTATTGTGTGGCAAATCTCAGTTAAGCCCTTTGACTGCAAAACAAAATGTAAGTCAGGTGTTTAATTTCTTATAGTAGTGGGATATTTTCCCATCCTATGTATCAAGGCAAAAAGGTGACAAAGTTATAATTAACAATTATGTGTCCATTTAAGCATATACAGTATATAGATACATAAATATGCTTACTTTTTTGTGGTCCATACTGTTTATCCAAAAAGATAGGAAAGACACTCCATAAAGCTAAAAGACAGTCCTTAAATTAAAAGAAAAAAAACTAGAAAGGTTAAATCAAAGATAATTAAGGAAATGTTCTCAAAGAATAACTAGACCAACTCATTGGAGATGCAGAACTGCAGAATGCAGAATGAAACACTGAACTGAACTTCTACTACCCTGTATTTAAAAGCAGCAGATATTGTGAAACAGTTTGTTTGACTGGTATTTTTACTCCTACTAACTCTGTGCAATAGGTATATCTTGTTTTCGTGTTCAAACACTGATGTTCCTGTACCAATAATAGCAGTAAAATTTACAGTCAAATCGGCTACATTTGGCACATATTTTGATTTCATTTCACAGTCTTCACCAATAGAAGTTAAAAAGAAATTAAAGGCAGCCAACATCACAAGTTGTCCATCCAGGTATACTGTTACAAGTTGTCCATCCAGGTATACTGTAGCATGTCAAAATTCCACACCCACTTCTATGTCCTGAGCTAGAGGATATTTTTCTAGTACAGAATTTAAGAAGATGTAAACATTAGAAGGGTTACAAATCGCCATCATTAACAATAGCTTTTGTTAGTTGTTCTACATACTGGTGACACTAAAACATTTTGTATTCACTTTTCTTTACACCTGTATTCCCAGTATTTTCTACTGGTGGTTTAGTCCCTGCATTGCATTGCTGAACCATTGCAGAATCATTTAACTTGATTCTGTGAATGCTTTAACAATACATGCTAACAATGTCAGTTGTTGTGTCTAAAATGTATGAATGTGTGTGTCCTGAAATGGACTGGTGTCCCATCCATGATATAGTCCTGTCTTGAGCCCTAACCTTCCAGGAAAGTTCCTGGGTTTCAAAGACCCTTACTGGGAATAAGCAGTTTTTTTGATGATGGACGGAATATTTCAATTGTTAAAAATGGCATACCGATGTATAACCACTTGGATAACTCACTTTCCACTTAAAAATCCTCACACGCAGTTCACTGTTAGTGTATGCAAGGAATGACAAACAGCAATAACAATACTGCTGAGCAATGTAGACCTAAAAATACATTAGCAATACATAGTAATTAAGAACTTAAAAAGTGAAAAAGCAATGTTAACATTAATTTCCATTTTCACCAAGATAATATATTTTTATTTTCATATTAATACAGACTAAGAATAGACATTGAATTCTCCAACCATCAGACTCTTCTGTTCCCTGTTCCAGTCCTGCAGGACATGTTCATGAAGAGATACAGTAGGTTGCTGATCAGGATCCAATAAATACAATAGGAAGGACTGCCTTTTAATTGGAGAGGGCAGTTATGAAACTAGTTACAATAGTTCACTAAATTATTAACATAACTAATTAAAAACTCCCGTCTACATTTCTGTTCTGGAGAACAGCCTCTGCTCTCAGATTACAGGCATATTAGAAACAGATGAATTGAGATAAATGTGTAATAGGTAAATGAGTATCAGATGGTTCTTTTACAAGTTCTTCAATACACTTATGAATAAGTAGATGTTTTATTATTATTAAATTAACACTGAGAATGCTCTAAAGCCCAGTTAACCCAGTAAATCAGTCAGTGCAATTCACTGTACATCCATCTGTTTTCAAACCACTTTATTCAAAATAGCGTCAGAGGGAGCTGTATTCTGTCCCCTCAAGCAACAGTCGCAGAGCATGATACACCCTTGTTGGGATGCCAGTCCATCGCAGGGCACACACAGACAAAAACAAAAACATGCACACCAGGGGCAATTTTTACCTGAAGCCAATTAACCTAGAGTACCAGCATGTTTTTGGGCATGAGCAGGAACCCTGAGCACCTGGAGGAAACTCAAGTGAACACAAGGATAGCATATGAACAGGAGGCTTTTCTACACTAAAAGTGTTGTGGGTGGATGGAATAGAATACCCACTCATGCCGTTAAAACCAATACCCTGGTTTCTTTCAAGAGAAAGCTGGTTGAGATCCTTAAAATCAATTAGCTACTACCAAACAGACTAGATGAGCTGAAAGGCCGCCTCTCTTTGTAACCGTTCTTATTTCCATTGTAGTTTTTGATGAGATTGAACTTCCCTCAAACATGAAAGTTTTTTCAGGTTTTCAAAAGTATACAGTACATCCAGGTCTTTTGAGGTGACATCTCAGTTTTCATATTGCACAAATTAATGTCAACTCATATTCTTTAATTATAACTTAAAAACCACACACTGGCTTGTGTATATGTTGGGATTTCTACTAAATTCAGCATGCAGCCTGTCAGACAAATTCTATATTTGTAACATTTTTACTTTTCTATGACATTAATATTTTATTCTAAAATATTTAAAACTAAATGGATTTTATTGGCACATATTTTACATACAGTATATGGTTTAAAATGTCACTCTGAGATAGTCTAAATTCTATTATAAGCAATGTGTTGCTTATATCAATATCAGCCATTATTGTGGACATTACTGTTACTTTGTAGCACAACTACAACAAAAAAAATTCAAAAGGAATGATGACACAAAGGAATTAGATGCATTTGAAGATGTTTATGAGTATTTACAGTTTGTACAGTATAGTGAGATTTGGTTCAACCTGTCATGCTTGCCCCTGCTGGTGCGCTGTGCACTGTGGGGGAAACTAGCATTGGCATGGCAGCCAGCCACGGCACCACCCACCAGTCCCTCAGTGCCACTTGCCATGGATACCTGTACGACAGGAGACCTGGACCACCTGGAGGCAATTTACCACCTCCACCACTTCAGGTGATTCAGGTGACACTGCTCGGGGCTCTGTGTGTCTCAAGTTTCACTGGAATCCTGACCTCTTCTTGTGCTAAGTCTTTGCTTCTGGCTTGCCCCTTTGCTTCCCTTCATACTCGGCTTGGATCCTGTTTGTTTACCTATGACTTCAGCTTGGATTCTCCTCTTGTGCTTTGCTACTTGTTGTGTTTTCCTGGTTTTGACTCTTACATCATTCAACCCCAACTACCTTCAAGGAATCACCTCTGGTGCAATGGAATATTTTAGCAATGGTCCTAATTTTTTGAAACCTTCTAGTTTGTTTTGCAGATTTACGATCTAGATGCTGATACACAGTTTTAGATAATGCCAGGACACTCATACTGTACAGTAGATAAAATTGTGATGTTGAAATGAATGGCATTTTTTAACTAATACTGAAATAAAAATTAAATATACAGTATTATATATGGGTAGACAGTTTAGAAATATAAAAAGAAATAAAACAGTACAAAACACTGCATATATCTTTCAAACTTAAGTCTGATTTTCTCAGTTGTGATTTTCTAGCAATTCCTAATAAGAGCCTAGACATACTGTAAATGTCACTGCCTGATTGTCGATTGAAGATCACTGTGTCCTAGGACATTGCAGCACTGTGATGTATTTGCAGGTCACTGGCTCTAACAAGGTGCAACCGATGAGACAGCATGGACAGAATGTGGTCTTTAATGGATCTTCTACAGTATATCTACTGTATATCTTCTAATTAATATTTCCATGCATATACAGAGTTACACGTGATATAATCCACTTTTTAATTTTTTCTGCAAACTTAAAAACTTAAGTTTATATAATCGTTTATATGTAGTACCCAAATACCATAATTGCAACCCCCTATTTAAGGTATCTAAAAAATAAAAAGCAAAACGGTAAATTTAAGCATAATTTAATCAAAACATAATTTATTTTCAGGTAATGAAATATGAATAAGATATTTTGCTTTCTATTAATATCCTATTGTCTGGGAGAAGGAGTGGTGGAGACACTGCACCTCCCAAGACCTGATGACCTGTGTGTAACCTGCAGGATGATGAAGAGTAAATGCAAGTTTAGTGTAGGGTGCACACTTTCGGAATACATGTAATCTTATTAATTGTATCAGAAATGTGGGTAATTGCAGTACGTCCCCCTGTCTTAAAGCTCTAAGATCCAAGGATCAATCCTGAAAAGTGTGTATGTCGAGTTTACATTAAAGTGGGGCATAGATATAACAGCTCTTCAATATCACCGTGGAAGAACACTGTGGAAGGTATTAAAGTAGCAGTTAAAGCAACTGATTTCCTTCCCAGGAATAACAGTCACAAACAAATACCATAAGGCAGGGCAAACAAATCAACCTGTGTCTCATCAAAGGACAGGGGCAAACACCTACCAAAATATCACAAAACTGGACAAGCCCTCAAAGAGCTGCAGGCAACAAGACAAATGAATTCTATTGCATATCGAAGAACAGGACAAGCACTCGGATTGTGAAACAAACTTCTTTCTGACTCCCACACACGTTGCTGTCCTTATGGAGCTCAATAAAACTGAATCTGCACAAGACTTTGTCCTGCTCCTCTGATGAAGAATTTTCCTTGCACCTTCTGAAGACACTTTACATAAGATCTTTGTCCCCCGTGTGTGTTTGCCCAGAGGTGGAAGGAAAAGACTGTCTCCTCTTCCATGGTGGAATCCCACCTTGCTCCCTATGCATCTGGGATAAGCTTTGGGAAGCTTAATTAGGTGCATATATGTATTTCCTGCTTCACAGCATTTGTTCTTAATTTGCAGTCATTTTACAAGTAGGAAGTTGTTGAACAAGCAGGAGACGAAATATGTGTGGGAAAACAAAAACAAATGTTTTTTTTTTAGTTAAACATTTTTTAAATGTCTCGAGACTTGGCTTCTCAAGATAGTCCAAACACTTTTTATGCAATGCCACCCTAACATTGGGAAGGTACGGTATAAGTTATCATGTAACTAGGCTTGATTTCCTCTCTTCTTTATTAATAAAAACCTTAAGCAGCCTGATGTGGCCGTTCTTTCGTTAGATTTTCACTGTATTTTCAATGTTACGTTGCTGTGACAACAATGCATGACTACAAGATAGGGTATTATTCATTGAAAAAGTGGGGTTTAAAAGCACAAATGTGTTGTTCAATGTAATAATAACAAACTTTGTTGAAACAAAGTGCTTTATTTCTAGATACAATTACATGAACACACTCTACTGTTACACAATATATTATCACACGTTGCTATGTTATTTAATATTTCTCAGCCCTTTTTAGTGTGAGACAAAGGAATTTTTTATGATGTGATTTGTTTTTCTGC